TGGGAAATTCAGAAGTTGAGAATAAGTGCGTCTTGTCTGGTATTTTGGCAAAGGAGTATGTATTATGTTCCAGGTGCTGTGAATACGTACTGCCAAATTGAAATGACCCCAAGGAGGGGTAAGTAGCACACCTATGCTTACATACAGATATTTTACGTCGCTTCTGAAATCGTGCAGCCATAAAGCCGTTGGTACAATTAATTACAAGGGACGTGAAGACAGTACATCCAAATTATACTTAACATGTTAAACAGACCTACACCAGTGGAAGGTGTACAATTACGTCTTGGAACTTGCAATACTAATGGCAGCACGAACCAAAATAAAAAATGTGTACATACATGTTCATTGGTAAAACTCGTATGACAGGATTAACACGTCATATGACCTGGCAACAATTAGGAGATAAACATCATGTGTTGGCCAATATCTGGGTGTTTTTGAGCATCTGAAGCAAAGGAATTCATTTGGAAATTCATTTCAAATGAAATATTCCCGTGCTTCAAATACTATGTAGCACCCGGAAATCGGCCAACACATGATGTTAATCGACATGTGTAAACTTACAAAAGTAATCCTAAAGGCCCACATGGGTTTTACTGTCTGCACTCATTGACATCGAGTACGGGTACAGCAGTGCAGTGTCATCAGCTGGCCGTTTCAGCTGGTAGCATCTGGAACTGCTCATTTGTGACGTCATTCCGACTTTACGTCACAATATGATTTTAATGACGTCACAACTGCTGACGTCGCAACAATTAAATTGCGTGCGCCATTTGTACGTGTCAATACGCAGTGAGTAATCTTGCAATTTCCGGGAATCGAATACCATTCGATCATGTTTTTCAGCCAATCAGATTAAAGAACACAGTGACTTTTGGTTTACAATGTTAAGTCACGTCATGCCCTTGGCAGAGACACAATTAATCCCTGCGGATAAAAGGCATCATACCAAATGTGAACCAAAAGCTGACGTCGTCGGTTCCAAATGTATACCCGTGGTTCAAATACTCAGTAACACCCGGAAATTGGCCAACACATGAAGTTTATATCCTAAGTAAAAACGCTTTATAAAGTATTTTCAAATAACAAAACATCAGGCCGATTGAAATTCACAGTTAGGCATTTCGACAATTGCTGTTCAAACTTACCTGGACATTGATCAGTTCACGCATTCATATACAGCATGCACGTCCTTGAATCTAGAGAGTACAGTATCATCTATAATCAGTATACTGTTCTAATTATAAAGAATAAATGAAATTATTGCATTATCTGAATTTATACTCTAATTGAACAGGTGTGTCCTAAACTTTCAACTGCCATGCCATGAAAGGCCATATATGTCAACAATACGGGCTGTTTCATTCGGAAATGGGTGTTATCGAATAACGATAACTAACGAATAAGATAGGAGATACAAAAGACTTTTCTGCTTCGTCCTATAAGACTACTGAATGCCCAGACGTCTACGGTGAAACAATTCTCTGCATGTTCACGGCTATGTACCCTATGTGTGACAGGAAGCTGGCTGGATTCAAGGGTTAAATCAGAGGTTCCCTGTGATATTGTTTCTAACTTTGTGAACCTCACACCTGTTATCGTGGGGTTCACTGTCTATGCATGGCCGTCTGCCAAATCGAACGAACAAGCCATTTCATATATGAAATTTATTCTGAAGTAACACAATGTTCCAGGTGCCGATCCTGCTCATATCTATGGCAACAATGGATTTGAAGATGAAGAAAACACTCGACAAGAACAAAGTAACCTGTTTCCGTTTTAAAGTGCTTAGAGTGAGCTAAAGATGATTAACCTAGGACTTGTTCATCAGAATGATTCCATTGTGTACATTCTGTGCTCCACGTGAACGTGTTATTTTCTGACTGATTACTCAAGGAGGATAACCGTCAAAGAACCAATTTAAATTAGTATTTGACATAATATTGAATTATAGTTATATAATTATATAATATAGGCCCCATTGGCGATTCTGATTCTGCCAATAGCGTGGCATGTTCTGTTTGTAATGATTCATTTGAAACCATTATACATGTTTTATATGCCTGTCAGTATGCAGAAATCTTATCGAGACATCCTTCAGAATGGCTTGCAAAATACACTGAGAGAAACATCGAATTCAATGAAGAGAATATAAACTCTGTCAAAAAAGAAACGCAACCCCTGTCCTCAGATATGAAAAATTCGTTTGAATGAAGTTATTGCTTCCAAACTAAATTTTATTCGAATGTATTGAAATGATACACGTTATTAATGAAGATTACCATCCAAACAACTGCATTTGTACGCATAAGTGTATTTTATTGCTTATTCCGTCACAACGCATGAAATGACCCTCATGGTGACTTCGCACAAAAACACATGCAAATCATGAAAATGGCGGTTAATGTAGGGGTGTATAAAGCCCATGTGGCTTCCGTATTATATTCATTCATTTTGTCGCCGAAAAGCTGTGTTAAAATGCCACGATTGAGTGCTGCCGACCGAAATATCGCCATTGGTCGTGTTCAAGCCGGAGAAAGTTTTGGAACTGTTGCACGGCACCTAAATGTTCACAAAACAACGATATCCCGACTTTGGAGCCGCTACAACAACTTCAATTTGACCAACGATCGCCCGAGAAGTGGAAGGCCAAGAATCACGACCCCCCTTCAAGATCGGTACATCCGGGTCCATCACCTGCGTAATCGGCATGCCCTACCAACCGTGACTGCCACACAAATACCAGGTTTGAGGAGAGTGTCAGCTCAAACGATTAGGAACCGTCTGAAAGAAGCGGGTTTACGTGCCTGTAGACCAGTTGTTGGACCTGTACTACGCCCCCTACATCTCCGCCGACGACTCAGGTGGTGCAACAACGTAAGGATACGGACTTTACAAAACTGGAGGCGAATCTGGTTTTCTGATGAATCACGTTTTCTTTTGCAACGTCACGACGGAAGACAGCGTCTGTATAGGAGACGTCATAAACGTTTTGCGCCCATCTGCGTCCGACAGGTGGACAGATTTGGCGGAGAAAGCGTCATGGTTTGGGGAACCATCTCATACAACCAGAAATCAGACTTGGTGATCGTTCCAGGGAACCTGACAGCCCAACGTTACATCTACCACGTGTTAGAGCTTCACCTTCTCCCGATTATTGACCAACAGACACAGATTTTTCAACGGGACAACGCCCGGCCTCATACTGCACGTGCAACAATGAACTTTCTGCAGAATTCCAACGTCAATGTCTTGCCATGACCCTCTAAATCACCAGACCTCAACCCTATTGAACACCTGTGGGATACTCTGGATCGACGCGTCCGTCAACGTCAGCCGCCGCCACAGACGCTGCAACAGCTCGCCGTTGCACTGCAGGAGGAGTGGAGAGCCATTCCCCAGGAACGAATCCGGCGTCTTATCCGTTCTTGTCCAAGGAGATGCCGTGCAGTGATTGCAGCGCGTGGTGCTCATACGAGATACTGAGAAAGACGCCCCCCTGGTGACAAACTGGTGTCTGTGAGATGACTTTTGAAATGACAATTTTAAACATGCCCATCTGGGTTATTATTCTGCCAAATTTCAGACTTCTGTCTTAAATAATAAAAATGCCGTGTCGTCCTAAAACTTCAGATCAAAATCTCTAAAATACAGGGGTTGCGTTTCTTTTTTGACAGAGTTTATTATTTGGATTTGAGGTTATAAATATATAATAACATTTTGATTGCAATAAACATATGCTTATAGAAGTAATATTTAGAAAGTCCAATTAAATTGTTAACCTTTACAACAAGAAATATATAGATACTATCAAACAACAAAGTTTACGGCATTCTAAAACTGTAAACTGCAAGCTTTCATGCTTTCTGGTCTTGTCTACATATACCTTTCGGAAATCCTATATAAATATTTTGAATAAGACATCTACATGACAATTTGATGTTTATGTACATCTACATGCACATACATGTATCAAAAGGGATGTTTTCAACTTCCCAATAATCAGCTTATCTTTTTCAAATCAAACAATATTTCAACAGCTTCAGCTTTTGATGTTTACACCTGGTATGGTGATTTACCTTCAGTTGGCGATCTATATATGTTTTTATATTGTATCGTCCTCTATAGTTAAAGTATTTTAGATTTAATTACTAGTTTTAAATATATCTATCTGTGATATTCTAGATGGTTTTACTGTCCTTTGTCGTCAAATATTTTAAAATGATTACCTTGTTTTCATCGCTATATGGCTGTAATATTGCCTACGCGCAATTTTAACTCACTCACTCACTCAGTTGATGTTTACATTCCACAACTATCGAGGTACAATCGAGCATGCTCTTTTACGAGATTTCAAAGAGCCTCATACCACTCTTGCTCAGAAGTTGTTCGATCAAAGCTACAACGTTCAAGGCCACATCAGTAGAGCTTTCCAAAAGTTTTATGGTAGACATGAGGAGGACATTTCTAAATTTGATGCACGATGCAAAAATGATGTCTGTGCAATTCCCCATTTTGACTTGTACCATACGTTCCCCAATTATTTCAAGTAAACGGTTGACTAGACTTTGCATATGTTTTTGACGGGTGCCAGCGATTGGGCAGGTTACACTCACCTTTGGCAACACCTGCTATCATCACTGTTTGAGACTGATAAACACATGCTCTCTCTAATCACTTAATTGACTGGTTCAGATTCGATTTGTTTTTGCAAACAACACATGTTATACTGCTACCACAAATATAAGCTCATGATGATGTCTTGATTGTTCAATCGACACTGCTTTTAGCATGTACTTCTCATGAATGTGGAAAGGGTGTGATGCTTGTATTCTATTTGTCTGAATATTGGGATCTACACTGTGTCAGGATACGCAGTGTATTAGAGTGTGGCACTCAGAACTATAGATATATTGTGCAGACATTTCAAGTGGATGCATTCTGACATTTTCTGAAATTCTCTATGTTACCAGGAACTGCTTCTGGTCCATCCTATGGCAACATCCAGTTTGGAAAGAACGAGGAAACAGGCCCCAAAAGAGGTACTTAGACGCTGCTTAAGAAACTACACCGCACATTTGTGCGCACTGACTATGCATGGTTCATATTCACTCAATATATGCAATGAATCGTGAGAACGGATGGCCTTTTTGTCTAAACAAATGCAACACCCTCGGTCTGGAGTAATAAGTTAACTATGGTTCTTGGTCCACCGTAGTGTAGAGTTCAATTATGTGCATCCCAGTTGCGTAGATCGTTGCTCATGCTGTTGATCACTGGGTTGTCTGGTCCAGGCTCAATTACTTACAGAGCTCCGCCATATAGCTGGAATATTGCTCAACCAACCAACATCACTGCCACAGTGCAACCAGGAATGCAAAATATATCACTGATAAGAAGTCCTGTTTATCAGTGATGGTACATGGTCCAGTTTATCAGCGGCCCATGGTTCTGTTAATTAAATGTTTGTTTGCTGTGTAACACCGCTCTTGAGTCTTGATATGACAATCCAGTGATCAACATCATGAACATCGATCCCCGCAAATGGGAAGCGATGACATGTGTGAAACATAGGAGCCTGACAACCGTATGTTAAGATTTAAGACCGGGTTTCCACAGGTACTGTTTATTAGATGTTGATGGTCCTTTTTAGCAGTGAGTGAGTTACAGTTTAACGTCACATCAACAATATTTCAGCCATATCGTGACGAGAACTTACTTGACATTGAAATGGTATATATGTACAATATAAAAACTTGTCGACGAAGGACAGTAAAACAACTTGAATATCACAATTAGAATTAAAACTAGAGTGGAAAGTTAAAATTAATAGCATTATTTTGGCCAATACAATATAAAAACTGGCTACAGATCGCCAACAACAGAAGGGAGATCACCATACTAGGGGCCATGGCCTTTTTAGTAGTGAGATAACAGAACCGTGAACACCTCCACATCTGTTTTCTTATTTTATACAGAAGTAAAAGAAAGGAAAGGAAGAAAACCAAGAGGACACAAGGACGGTAAGAGGATAATTATGCTTGTGTTTTTTACTTTAAAAGCAGTACTGGAAGCAAAAGTCCAGTTTATCAGTAATACTTGATCCTCCTTTTCAAAGATACTCATCCGTCTTCTTCTGTTGTACAGAAGGGATAAAAAGTAGAGTAAGACCGCCGACGGAAAAGTTGACTATGATACTAGCTGTTTTTAATAGCATTGCTACTTAACTGAAAACAAAACTACAGTAGAAACGAAACCATAAATTTGCGTTGAGAATAGTGCTGTTTATCAGAGTCCAGATATATAAGTGTAGCCCCAAAGACGGTTTAACCACATCCGCGAATCAGGTCGAAACAGGTCTTCCCAAGAAACGTGTTTAACTTGGTAGCTTCTTCTGACATGACCTATTACAGTTCTGCAGGTTTTGAAGTTTTCGACTCCATGAGTACACGTGTGAGATGTTTTTGTCCACTAATATGTGTACCAGTAGCTGCAGCTTCCAAAATGTTTATTTATTTCAATTCCATGTTTCATGTTTTGTATTCCTCGACGTTTCGCATCTACACGGTCTTGTACAAAATATCATTATACAAATAAGTCCTATGAATGAACATGAGGAATATAATTACATTTGTGGTCGGCTGGGTTTAATACACTAGACGCCAAAAGAAACGTTACCCTCCTACTTTGTGAATTACTGAAAAACTATGAAAGTTATGTTAGAAAGTTTTAGTTTACAAGAAAGCTTAACAACACAGCTTTATGCAAATCACGAAAAAGAATTCTCAAATGCATTCATATTTAGGCGAAATGCATCTTTTTCAGTAGAGTTAAATTGTCCTATATATGACGAAATAAACAAATAATAGTGATTTTGATGTCCAAAAGAAAGGTTAAAATAAAATTCTGCTTTGAAAGATAAACCATTTAAAGTCACCTTTTTTCAACTACTATAACAAGAAACAATTGTTGTAGAGTTTGTAAAATTGTAAAATAATCATTCCTATGATTTCAGTCTTTTAAAACATTTTCTGCTGTTCTGCATTTTTGAAACGAGTCTTTGATATTGGTAGGAGGGTAACGTTTCTTTTGGCGTTTAGTGTATGCTGGCACATTAGGTGATCTGCATCAAATGAGACTTTCTGACTGATTATTGTTTGTGTGAGAAGTTGAGTCTCATATTAAATATTACACAATTTTTACTGGCTCTCATCTTTTCTCCTTGTAGAGCACGTTTATGAAAACACCGTCGTCAGGAACTAATCTTTCCGGTAACTACGGATACCGATGACATCACGCGACTCGGACACCTATCTGTGTCATCGATTAGTGTTTGCCATATATGTACATTAGTATGTAGATTCTTTACTGTTCGTATTACCCCGAACTAATACAACCAGTCTCATCACTGTATCGTGACTGTATGTTATTGTTATCTCTCTCAATCTCATTGGCTCGTCATGGTGTTGTTACGTTGGACCATTCATCCGAAATTACATTGATCTCTTGTATATACTCTATATACTTACTCATTACTTGATCTCAACACACTATATGGCTGGAATATTGCCGATGTGACGTAAAGCCCAACTCAAACTCAAACTCATTACTCACGTGTTCATGGGGCAAGAATTGCCGTATTAACACTCAAATAAGATATTGTGTATGGTCGTCATCGTAAATGTCCATCACTTACCTTTATACGTAGCAATTCGAGTTTGGTTTCATCATTTTCAGTACAAACACATATATCAAACAGTTTCACTAGCATACCTGTAATGATGTCCATTACTTTGTAATCATACATCGCCTTTATATCCTTTTAGAGCAACCTTTTGTCATTTGTAACATATGACATATTTGGGATTACATTTGTTTCAGTAAAATACAGATTATAGTACTTTTGGGTTGAATCCCATTGAGGATTCATCCAAGAACTCTGAGTGTCGGTCACCCAGACGATCTGACCCACTCAGCCATCGCGGCTTCCACAAGTCTGACAACTTGCAGTCTAGGTCACGTACCCCTCCTTCTGAAAAGGGTAAAATGGCATGGTTACCGTTGCCAGTTGTTCGTGGAAGCTGCATGGCCGAGTGAGTTAGACAAAGACTCTGGGTGGTTCATGCAAACATACAACAGGACGCCTCACAGTGACGTGATAGTTTGGCAGATGGTGTTACAAGTGACTAGAGTGTGCGAAATAGCCACTGGCCCGCTAGTCCGGGGCTAGTAAAAATCCAGTCGGGCCAGTACATCTCCACAGTCACTGGGGTCACTTTGTAACTATATCACTCTCTCCGACTTCGACTTGTTAACTTATAAGACACTTTCAAATCACGCCAGATTATGGCCTTATATAAATGTTCATATTATTACCCGTGTCTACATTCAAATTTCGGACTAGTGAATTGTTTGTGGACTTTCAGGCATAGGCAGCCCAATTGGCTAGCAAAATTTGGAAACTATTTCGCACACTGATTTGTTCAGAAAATGTCATTGGAAGTACTGAGCTCGGTACAACACCATACATTTTAACGTTGTTTTTATGCATTTTCTACAACAATTTCCAATGTAATGATATACATTTCATTGTTATCATTGTTCACTGTTTATATATTTTTTTCTTTTTGTCCTTTTTAGTATGAGATAGTTTAGAAGTTGAGTTTTTATTACCTACGTTGAAACATTGTAATAAAGTTGTTCATCCATTTATTGTTGTCCCTTCTTATAATATTATTTTTATTGATAAAAGTGTAATCATTATAAATTAACTTCAGTACATAGTGGGGGCGGTGGGGTAGCCTAGTGGTTAAAGCGTTCGCTCGTGACGCCGAAGACCCGGGTTCGAATCCCCACATGGGTACATTGTGTGAAGCTCATTTCTGGTGTCCCCCTGCTGGAATATTGCTAAAAGCGGCGTAAAACCAAACTCACTCACTCAGTACATAGTCATACCATGTTCCTATTTATTCATTTTCTACAACAGTTCCCAATGCAACGATGTATGTTATGTAGTTATCATTGTACAAAAGTAATACCATTAACTCAGCAGTTCTTACTTATGCCATCTGACACCATGAGAAGGGAAGTAAAATCCTATAACAACATCAAACACTGGGGTGATTGGGAATGTGAATTATTGCAAAACATTTTGTTCGGAAAAATAACACAAGGGTTTACTACCTGCGTGCATTGAAGTGAGACATAATTACATAACTAATTCCGACCCCTGAAGATCCGGGGTAGAATAGATCTTCAGCAACCCATGCATGCTTGCCACAAAAGGCGACTATGCTTGTCGTAAGAGGCAACTAACGGGATCGGGTGGTCAGGCTCGCTGACTTGGTTGACACATGTCATAGGTTCCCAATGCACAGATCGATACTTATGATGTTGATCACTGGATTGTCTGGTCCAGACACGATTATGTACAGACCGCCGCAATATAGCTGAGTGCGACGTAAAACTAAACTCACTCACTCACTCACATTACTACTTCCAAGATCCGGTGCCTGGGAGGTATTGTTTCACTTCATCAAAAAAATCCACAAATGATGTAAATAATTACACAGGCATTAAAGTTTCTGGTACATTGAGTAAAGTCTATATTCCAATCATAAATACCCGTTTGGAGTACTGGTAGGAGTCTCGAGATAAAACTGCAGTGGCAAGTTGGGTTTAGACAATCGGCTAATTACGATATGTTGGTGTTACAGAGTAGTATATACCGATGTAGAAATCCAAAGGAAGGACGTTGTTTACAGTTTCAACGAAATGAGAAAGCTGATGTGCAGTATTCATTAAGAAGTGAAATCATATGTTAAGCTAAATGGTAACTATTGTGATATATGTACTCATCATGCCAGTGTTCGCCAAGGGTATGTTCCACGATCCTTTGTAGTCTGTTTTTTTTCACCAATTAGCTTAACAAACTAAACAGCTGTGGTGGTACTCAACTTCACCCTGAAACGTTTAGGATATTTAAGTCACTATTTGTTGATCCACGCTAGTTTAAACTCTTATTGTGATATTCTAGTTGTTTTACTGTCCTTTGACGACAGGTTTATATAATATACACAGGTTTCATTTCAATGTCAAATATGTTCTCGACACCATATGGCTGAAATATTGCCGATGTGACGTTAATCTTAACTCACTTACTCACATATTCCATTTCAATGTCAAATATGCTCTCGTCACGATATGGCTGAAATATTGCCGATGTGACGATAAATATTAACTCACTCACTATTCGCTGATAGTATATGTTTGCATTGGAGTAGCATAAAATATTTGTCAGATTTGATCTGCCAGTTAGAATTATGTTATGAGAACTGGAAACTTAAGGTAAACTTAGAAAAATAATCATTATTTATGTTTAGTAAGGAAAGTAAACCATCAAGAAAATAAATATAGCTCCTTGTAGGGAAGATATCGGATACTGTTACATCTTACAAATACATTGGATTTTGCATTTACAAAGAAATTATCATTGAATGAGCATACCAGTTACTAAGAACAGGAAGCAAACATTTGTTGGAATTCTACACAATTTTTCACAAATCGAATCTTTCACACGATATATTTGTCCTCATATATTATATGGCTCAGCAATGTGCTTTTAATGAATCGAAAGCTGCCACGGAAGCGATGTTTCCGAAGCGCACATGTACAGACACTCCACAGGGGAATGAGATGCTTGTCACTGTGAACATTAATTTAGAGAACCCTGTACATGGAACCGTGAATGCATCGAACCATACCAACGTCACTCTGGAACACACACAGATACTCCAGAAACTTGGTGATACCAACCATAGTCAATAGTAAATACTCCTCGTGTATGCTTGCCAATACATTAAAGTGCAAATACACTGTACAACATAGTATTACTTTTGTAAACAATTTGAGAAAATGAATTTCATTATTTCTCTTTATTATTCTTGTTTTTTAAAGATTTCATTCCATCTCTTACTTCCTTATATATGCTCTCGATAGACCATCGCCGTTTTTAATTGGGGCTGGGCTGGATTTTTTAATTCCCACAAATAAGCCTCTAAGCCGCATCTGCGGCAGAACCACCACTGTACTACTACTAAAGGGAAAGTATGTGCTCTCTATTCACACGTTGGTGAAAGGGAAAGTATGTGCTGCCCTATCGGTAACAACCTCTATTTACACGTTGGTGAAAAGGGAAAGTATGTGCTACCCTATCGGTAACACCCTCTATTCACACGTTGGTGAAAAGGGAAAGTATGTGCTGCCCTATCGGTAACACCCTCTGTTTACACGTTGGTGAAAAGGGAAAGTATGTGCTGCCCTATCGGTAACACCCTCTGTTTACACGTTGGTGACTATTACTTACTCCACAGAAGTGCTCATGCCCTCAGTAGCTTCCAAAAGAAGGCTGTCATCAATATCACTGAAAGAGCAACAAAATTACATTAGTGACATTTATCAGAAATTGTGTTTTACAACATTACCAATGATTAACTGAATACTTGTAAAAAAAAAATAACTATTTTATAGCATACTTACTCTGTATCCCAATCCGTGATGTCAGAATAGTGTCTTGGCTGAAATTCCATAATGAAAAATGATTTTAGAACTGTCATTTTACACTAGTCTTAGCGTCATAAGGATTCATGTGAAATGATAGTCAGAAAACATTTTGTGATGATGAAATTACTTTCACAATAATTATCAAAATGTAACATAGACAAAACAGAAATACTTACAGTTCCAAAAATTCTTCTGCCATGTTTTTCTTGTTGGGTACAACAGTGAATGAGCCAGGGGTGAAGTGTGTAGGAAGGGGGACCCGGGGGTTTTAAATAGGGAATATTGACACAAAGAACGTCCAGTACCAAACCCTGGAACTTTCCATCAATGACCCGCCTTTTCTTTTCAAGTTTACCCAAAATGACCAACATGTTTTAAGGTTAGCAGCTGGTGCTGGAAAATTCCACTAGTTTCACAAAGAGAAGACTCCTAAGGTTAGATTACCGGCATTGGACAACTGCACCACACTATGTTAGCGTGCTTTATTTCTTCAGTGCTAACAATAGGCCAGGTGTGTCTGTAGTCACCTGGAAAACATTTGGTTGTGCTCTCAACGTTTGTACTAATAAAACGAAGAAACAGCATCTAGATACAAACAAATTTTCAATTATATGTAGTGACAATATTTACTTTATTTCTTGTTATTTCAGTTACAATAAAATAGTTGTTGAGTCATTGAAAACAATTAATAACACAAAAACAAAAAATAATAATACTGATAACCATGCCTGAATCATAATTAAGAACCAACAAGACAGATACAAATAATAATCATTATGTGATTACATAGTATGTGATGAATTATGGTAAAACATCTCCGATCTCGAGTCACTTT